AAGTTCATTATTTTGTTTTTGTTTTCGAGGTCTTTTTTTAATAAGACCTCAAAAGTAATAAGAGAACAATCTTATGAAGTCATTGCTTTCATCTAAGACAATGTGTCGAGGCAAAATCACCCTACATCTGAATGATTCAAATATGCTTGAACATAAGATGACTCATAACTATGTTGAATGCTATCATTAAGTTTTGTATTCTTTAATATACTATTGAACTGGTGAACAAATAAGTGAGAAAAAAATTCCAATATTTACACTCCAACAAGTCAATGGACACAACATCCTTACAAGTCTTTTCATTTTTCTTATTCATTCATGTTGGTCTTAACTATATAATCAAACATCCCAATTGCATAATAAATACTAAAATACGGAGTAGTGGTTTAATTTTCTTTTCAAAAATGCTCTACTAAGTTATACGGAGTATTGGGCATTTAGCCCGTCGCGCAACGGGCGTCGCAAAAACTAGTACAAACATATACGTACGATGAAGGGGAAGTATGAAACTATCATACGTAGAAGGAGAATAACGCAGATGAAATATGGAAGACATAAAAGGAAGAAAAGGAACAAACAATGGTAAACGCGCGCTGCCCTCCCAAGTCCCAAGCGTTTTGCTCTTCGGTTGTTTGATCCCAATCAGCTAAATCAATAAGGCATTTACCAAACAATGATTTTAACTTTTTAGATGGTCAAATCATTAATTATGAAGTTAAAAATTGTTTGATGAGCCATTTTCCAAACCTGGTTGGGTTTTTTAAAAGAATATTACTAAAATAAAACTTATTTATATAAATATGACTATTCATTACTACAACGTGGTGTTGTAGTAACTTAAGTTCAAAACTTGAACATGAATTACTATGATCTCATTACTACTCTAGTAACTAGTCATATTTTTGTAAATCATCTTTATTTTGATCATATTCATGTAATTATTTCTAAAAAGAAACCAGAGAACGTATGACAACAATTTTTAATTTTTTAGAGAGTATTGAATAATAATTATAAATAAAATCTTGTTTTGATTGTTCTCGAAAAACTTGTCTAGCCTGCTGTACTTTTTAAACTACATAACTAATGTTGAATAAAATTGAGACTCTTTAAAAAAAATTAATAGGTCGAAATTCTTTTATAGTAATATTAGTGAAAGTTGTTGGTGCAAATTAAAAGACCCACAAGCCGCTGAGAGCATCTCCAATGCTCTTCTTTTAACAGTGAGAAAATTTTGACAAATGTCAATAGAAGAGAACCATGTTAATCCACATAATATACCAATCAAAAGAAAGGCGTGAAAGACTCCCAATGCATAATGTTAACCACTTGAAGTTATCCATATGACACTTATTTATGCTCCGTAAAAACTGTAAAGTTATCCATATGACACTTATTTATGCTCCGTAAAATCTGTAAATATAAACTGGATAAATACAATGAACCAAATTAAAAGGAGAAAAACTTAGAAAATTAATTACGCCAAGATGCAAATTCGGAACATATGAAAATTAATTTTGAAATTCATAGAAAAAATCAACAAGAGTTTGATGGAGGAAGAAGACATGTCTTCTTTATATAAGATAATGATAAATATATAAACGTATACGGAGTATTTATGTGTATATATATGAACATGCAGTTTCTCTCCACTATGTGCGAAATAATACGGGAAAACAGAAAATTGGTTCAGTTTAGATGAGTCAGCATGTTCAACATTCTTTCTAAATTTGAAAGTGGTTTCAAAAGTATTAGAGCATCTCCAATGGGGTAGTGGATTGGAGTAAAGTCTATCCTACGTGGCATATGAGAGAGATAGAGATAGAATGATTATTTTAATTTAATATGGAGAAAGTGGTGTGTATGAAAAATGAAAAGGAAGAGAGAGATAGGAGTAAATTGTAGACAATGTGTATGACAATGTCCACAAATAGACTTTACACGGGAATCGAGGAGTAAAAGTGGATGAAAAGTGGGTTAAAAGTGATATAGAAAAATGAAAAACAAAATAAATGTGGAGATATGTAGGTCCTACACATAAAATTTGTGAGATAAAAAATGGGACCCGTGTGTAAGAATGTGGAAGAGAATAGACATCCCATTGAAGATGCTCTTAGTTCCATACTTCCATGTCAACTTAACAAGGGATATGAAAGAATGCATTGGAGATCAAAAAGCTATCACACTTTTAAAATTCAAATATGTGGCATACGTTGCAAGAGAGGGTTGGACATGCTATGAGGATCAATCTGACAAGCCATGCAAATGTCAGCACCACTGATACCTTAGCAAAGAGGAATTCTATTTACAACTACTCAATTGCTAATTACAGTCACCAAATTAAAGTTAAATTAATCTTTTTTACAACCCTTCCAATTAAACAAACGTTAGAAGTTCTTTGTCTTTGATTGTATTATCAGCTATGTGACGAACGTTATTTTGATTTAATATATTAACAAACATTATTTTGATTTAATATATTAGTTGGATTTGATGATTAAAAAAAACCTTCCAATTAAACTAAGCTCCTCTATCTATACTACACACAAGACAAAGAAGCTGTGGAAGTAGGGATGGACCAGCCTGTGGCCCGGCACGCCAACCGGGTCAGGGACCGGCCCGGGTAGCCCGGCCCGAGGGTATGATACAGCGGGCTCCGGGTCTGCAAAAAGAGGAACCGGCCCGGAGCCCAGCCCGGCGTGGAACCGGTCCATGCCTATGTGGAAGGACTCAAGAGCAAACAGCGGTATGTTCCTCAAAGCGGTCGCCGGACACGCATTTGGGTTTTTCCCTCTTTGGGAACATGGCGTTCAAGGAGCCGCCAATATTTGTTCTCTCTGCCATGGAGTTTTACCAAAACAAGGGATAGAACTGAAAACAACGAATTGCTTTTACCAACAACTCTAGTAGTAAGCCAACCTTCGTGAATTCAGATTTCAGAGGAGTTGAGGGGAATAAACAGACCTTAGCCCCTGGGAATTTAATCTTCCCACCAACCAAAGGGCTTCTAAAGCAATCTGAGGGACTTCCAGTCGAGAGCTCTGTCAGTCATCGTGAATTGATCTTTTCACCGATCAAATAATTTCTGGAAGATTCATTCTATATACACCCTGCTATGTGCTCTTGAGTCTTGAGCCGTTCAACACTATGGATGGACTCGGGCCGGTTCGGGCATGGGCCCGGCCGGGCCTCGGTTCAGAAAAGGAGAGGCCCGGAACCGGCCCGGGTAACCCCGGGTCCGGGCCGGGCCTCGGTTCATTTTTTTTTGCCTTTTCCTAATTGACATCTAACCTCCCCCCTCACCCCCAAACCATCTCAAATGACCCAAAATACCCAGCCCAACCCAAAAACTTAAAAAAAAATGGCCCGCACCGGGCCCGGACCGGCCGGGCCGGTTCACGTTTTGAGGGGCCCGAGCCCGGACCGGAACCCCAGCGGGCCGGGCCTACCCGAACCGGTCACTGATTGGGCCACCGGGCCGGGCCAGGACAGTGCCGGTTCATTCCGGTTCCGGGTCGGGCCACCCGGCCCGAGTCCATCCTTATTCAACACCCAGCAAGACTCTGTGATGAGTCTGCATGTGCGTATAGGTAGAGGAGCTTAGTTTAATTGGAAGGGTAGAATAGTTATTTTAAAAAAAGATTATTTAAATTTTAATTTGGTGGCTTTAAGTAAAAATTCTCCTTGGCAAATTGCACCGCTTACATATGCAATGGGAGGTGCTTCGCGCACCTTTACTTTATCTTTGCGCACCCTTCATTGACCAACTATGCTTTAGCGGTGAAAGAACGAGCAGCCCAATTTAGAGCCCGTTTGGTAGCACGAAAATCGGCTGTTTTGGCTGATTCTGCTGAAATTTATGAAATTCTGGCTGAAGTGGCTGTTTTGGCTGATTCTGCTGATTCAAGAAAAAAATATTTTAAAAATATATTTTATTAATAAATTATAGAAAAAATTACATGTAAAAATAGCTAAAATAGTCCTCTACAGTAACTTCAGCCAATACAGCCAGAAAAGTAACTCCAACCTTACTTTTTCTGCTTATTACACAATTCAGCACACAAAAGTAAAAGTTACGTGTTTGGTGAAAAAGCTGGCTGATAAGCCTGATAAGCCGAAAAAAGAGGTCTCCAAACGGGCTCTTAGTTCCTGGCGATTCAGAAGCTTTGCTTCCTTCACTAATACCCCGTACGATTTTTACTCATCGTTGATCTGCTACTTAGTTCAGATGATGGGCACTCCTCTACCTATCATTGATGATCAACTTATCAAGACACCATCTTCCACTGCGGTGCTTCCGGAAATATAGCCCGTCTCTACACAACGAGCAGACATTCCACATCGCCTTGAAGGTTACAGTTAGGGGGTGGGGGGTTTGTTGCAGTGTTAGCAGAATGCTTGACCCAGGCCATTCAAGATCATATATAGCTTCCTTTAGCGCTGCGGACTTGAGGGTAAAACTGACCCTGCAGGTTCAAAGTGGCAGTCCCAGGTATTGTCTCAGGAATACGTGTTCTAATCCCCGCATAAATGCATGCATTAGATGAATAAACAGATTTGAGAAGAAGTTCCATATCAGGCCATGGGTAACGAAATTCTATAGTATTTGATTTTCCGGGAACCGAGAATGTACTGAGGCAAAGTACAAATAGCCCTAAACTCACTCCGAAATCTCTGTGTCCCTTCGGAGTGGTATACATACTGAGTAAACAACTCGCGTTGCAAATAAACTTTTCCTTGGAAGACACGGGCTTTCCTCGACGATCAACACCGGTCCGTATACAACAATTGCATTTCTGGATGATGATCACGGAATAGCAGAGGGTATAATTGTCCAAAAAAAATGATTTTTTGGGTGCGCCAAGTAAATGTTGGGGTGCGCGAAGATAATCCGATATGCAATACACCTAAAAGTCTAAAACATAGCTCGATCGCTATCCCAACCAAATTCGTACTACATATAAGCTGCGCCATGAAAATAACAAATGACATATACACAAAAGCAGACATACCAAAATAAATGTAAAAATATATTTCGAAGGAAATACACAAAAGGAACAATTGGGAGGCCAAAAACATGGTACACTCCAAAAGAAATTATTAAACAAAACCATATAATGAGTTTGAATTTGTAAATAAGAAAGACTAAAATATGAACAGAAGTGGGCATGGTACTACAAATACCCTTTCTATTCATACTCACTCATTCTTGGATCGTCAAGGTTGTTAAAAGAATTCTGAAGAATACCATACCATTTTTGAAAGAGAAACGGTTGGTAGTTCAATTTTGTTTTATCCCCATTATTGTTCTCACCTGTGGTGGATGCAGATATGGGCGGGGGGGGGGGGGGGATTAAGAGACCCCAATGTGCCCACTGTTAATATAATTGAAGACTTGCTTCAGATTCCCTCTGGAAGGGCGGGCATTAACTGCGAATTTGCAGATGTACACCAACCTTTGTCTCAATTCTAGCTTGCTGATATTTCTCTTGTTAATGGATATCCTTTCATCAAAACATCCTATTTTAATCAAGCATTATATGAAATAGGTAAATAAATAAATAAAATAAAGAGAGGGTACTGAAAAAGTGAAAATACATGCAGAGCGAACTACTTTATTATGATTGACATAAAATCTAGCGGAGTACACATACCTTTGTCATCAAATAATGCCAACAATATCCCCAAGCAAACACAGATGCTTATATCTTCTCCTGAAAGAAAGACAAACATGTCACTGAGATAAAATTCCACGTGTTTTATGCACTTCTATTACAATAAATTTGAGTAACTTGGAGGTGTAAGTTAAAAATAGTAAAATATACAGTAGTGAACAAGGAACAAACCATTCACACAACATACAAGAAGTCTCTTCCCTTTCTTCAGGTTAGCTTTGGCAAAATTGATAGCCAAAGGAAGACTTCTTGACACAGAAAACCGATCAAATTTACAGTCCTGTTTTCCATCATAAAAGGTGAGAGCTAGGCATGAGGACGAGAATACAGGATTGCCGATTTACACGAGTAATTACTTGAGCATTGTAAAAAATCATAAATACTCTCCATATCACGTGACTTACAACAATTGGTAGGTGTAAATAGGCTTCAGGATCATCCAGCAAGTGTGAAAATTCTTCAAGGCCACAGTTCAGTATGCTATCAAAAGAGGAGGCATCCTTAGCTGCATGGTTGAATACTTGAATCCCATTAAATGAATGACGTAGATCGTGAAGGTGGTTGATACTACTTTTCTACAATCTACACTGCCCAATTCATAATACTTGCTGTACTAGCAGCCCACACTCAAGCACATATATAGAAGTACACACATTAAAATTGATATCAAATTTATTCTAGGGTTTTGGGGCTATATATATATATATATTTTATATATATCATTACACTTTTAACAGATTAATTTTTATATATTTTTTTAAATATTATATATATTTTACATACATTCAACAAATTAATTTTTTTACTCAGCAATGGGTTACAAGTATTTCCAATTTGAAGCTTCGTTCGGTTGGGGAAATACTATTTGAACTTCGAAAAGCATCTCATGACTCATCCTTAGAAACCTCAAGCTCTATGGAATCCTTTTCAAGATGGTGATATGGATTAAACCGAAAGCACATCTCAAATTGAACACATATGCTTCATTTTTACCCGGTAGAGTTGTCGGCGGAGCAATTATGAGAAATCAGAGGAGAGATGCTTTTTGCTCTTAGCTTCCCAGTGAAGGCGTCTTCTTCCTTAGTGGCCGAGCTGAATAATCATCTTTGTGACGCTGTGGACGGTTAAAGCAGGTTTTTACTGGCTTTCAGGTGGAGACAGACTCTTTGCTTGCTCTTGCTTGTTTATCAGACACCAGATTGCGAAGATGGAGGGACACCATTCAGGAATTCAAGCTGATCTCAGAAAGGAAAGCAATTGTTCAAGCTGATCTTAGAAAGGAAAGCAATTGTTCATACGATGCGTGAGATAACTGGGCGGCCCATTATTTGGCAAATGCATCTGCGGGCCGTCTGACCACTTATTCCAACCAGGACGTCCTACCCTTACTGGCTAAGCGGGCCTATTTCATGGACCTGTTTGGCATTCCCTCTTTTCGACTTGAGTTTCATTTCTGTATTATTTTTCTGGAGAGGTTTTGGTTCGGTCTCCTCTCTTTCTGTATTTTTTTTATCATTTTAATAAAACCTGGCAAATGTTCCTCGGCATTTGCCCCACCGACTTAGGTGGTTTACCTACCTGGTTTTAAAAGAACATTGCACTTATGATTTCATTATGCACATCATTCCATTGCATCGTGTTGCCATACAGCACATAGACTTAGTTCGTAACATTGCTATGTTTGGTTACTTATGTAATGAAATGAAATCTGCAACCGCCACCATCACAATTCACATTCACCACTTAACATTGTATTAGTTCTCAACTTTTTAGTAGGATGGATGAAACCCGGGAAGTCCTCGTGTTGCATCCCCACGAAAATTTCTTTTGGGATTAAGGCTTGGACGTTGTTATTGTTGTATTAGTTTTCAACCTTTTTATTTAGATTATTTTTAAATTTATCTTTATAATTTTTTTCTATTTGCAACTACTTTTTAACAATTTAGTTTGTTTAATAAATCGTTAGCCGTATTTTTAAATTGTTTTTCTCCATAAATTTGTTGTATCTCAAACTATTTTTTTGTACTTTTGGATTATTTGTTTGGTCAAAATCTGTATAAATTTTTACATTAACTGTTTTTATTTTTGACTTTTATTTTCATTTCTTTACTTTTTAAAGAAAGATTGAAGTGATTTTTTATATTTAATTTATTTTGTAACTCTATTTAAACAAAATTAAAATGAGATTCCGAGATGAGTCCTCATATGAGAAATGTGAATGGATCTGGTGCACCAGATTCAAGACCTAACTAATGGCTTTAAAGTGCCAAATATGCTGAAAAGAAATAGGTAATGTGGTGGCACTTTCACAATTAAAATGAAATTTTCATATTTCTATAGTGAAACATACTCGAACCTTAACCCACTACGTGTGTGTTTGCAATTTCTAAAACTTTTGATTTTTTTAAAAATCTGTTACATGTGTTCTAGCCTTCTAGGTATGTGTAAATTGTTGAAAACAAAATGGTAAAAATGCCAACCAAGGTAGCAATAAAATTACTTACCTTGAAGGGTTTTGCCAACTGCAACATTGGTAACACCAAGCCAAGATATAGCATTATCATCACTTCGGGACATTTCATCTCTATATATGCACATATTATCAGCATCCAATGGTTCCTGTGCAGAAAATTCACTGTTGAGACAATTTTTTATAGAGTACCCTAGTGAAACCTGAGGAGCATCTTCCCCCCTTTGTGCACAGTATACTCTGTTCTTTTCCACAATATCAGCAACCTTCTGGTTGCACAAATTTGGCCCCAGGCTTAGGAGATCATAAGCATGTTTCCAGAAAAGTGTTGGAGTTAATCCTCTTGCCCAGCTCTCTTCATCATCTCCAGCTCCGGCTATATAATTCCAACTAAACTCTGAAGTGGTTCTTTGTTGAAAATCACTTGTCGAGAAGGACGGAGAAACGAGTATGATGGGCGTGAAATCCCAAGAACTAGACTCAGGCACTTCATTTAACCAAATTACAGTTTTCTGTGATATCCATAAAGGTCGTAATGGCTTCTTTAAGCAGGAAGACATTGAGGCAATGTCAGCTCCACTATCCTCAAGATCCTTAGTCCATCCAGTAAGTCGTTCCTGAATAAGACTTTTTTCTGTTTCGCAGACCCATATAGGAAGATGCAAAGAACAATCCCAAGGGAAAAAGTCCTTATTAACATCTTCAGTGTGATGGTTATGGGACATGCAGTAATTTATGTTTGACTCCTGTCACATTGATTTCACAGAAGAATTAACCACAATTTTCTTTTCCCGCCTCCACCATAGAATTTAAATACACAACTAATGTAAAAGAAATGTCATCATTTAAATTCCCTATGCAATCCATTTATAAGGAGGTTAGAAGTAAACAAGATAATAAACAACACAACTGTTTCCTTCTTGCCAGAAATACAATTACTAACAAATAATGTCTGAAAACATAAATGATAAGCCAATGAAGCCATAAGCTTAAAATTCTGCCTAATTTCTCAATTATTACAAATCTAAAACAATTTATTTTATGATAGCAAGACTGCAACCAACTCAAACAGTAACCAATAATTTTAAGCTCAAAAGTTCTTAGCAAGCAATCAACTTGTTATTGGGTAGCGGTCGGATTGGGTGTAGCCGGGTTTTGTGGTATACTGGTATAACTCTTCAATTTTAACATTTGATGTAAAACTATTACAGGTATCTCAACTCATCACCATCATCTCATAATATTTGCTATAGAAGTGAGTGGCACACATGATGATTGTGATTCTGGATTCATCTCATCGTTTCTTCTTTATAAGGGAACTGAAGGACATTAACAATAAACTTTACCCATGTGTACTTTGCTGGAGTTTAAAGTGTTAATTAGTTGTATATAATTCATTGAGGCTTTAAACTTCACGCCACCGACCTCAACACATTTGATGTTAAGGTGTTGATGATGATGTTAAAAACCTCGAGTTATTATAAGCAATGAGATATGCATCCTCTTTACCCATATCAAGATCCTCTGTTGTACATATAATAAAGCAATTGCGATAGACCACAGTAGTTGAGCTACTTTTTGCAGCCAAGGTAATAAGATGTTTGAACAGCCATTAAAGTTGTGGTAATGATATCTTCTTCTTTTTGTAGGGTGACTTATCCCCCCCTTTTGAACATATTTAATCTAAAAACAGAATTCAAAATATTGTTATAAGTTCATATAAAAAAGACTTACTCTGTCATTTCATATTATAAAAATTAATCTAAAAACAGCATTCATATTTAAAAACACTTGTTTCATGTCATTTGTTCGTATTTAATACGGAGTATCATTTTCTAAAGTTGACTACAAAAGTGCAGAGAGCCCTAGGACATAGGCGATATATTAATTTAAATCCAAGTACCACAAAAAACAGCTAGGCCTTCGAATTGCCGAGAAACAATCACCTAACTCTACAAAGACAGATCTGGAAAGCAATTCAACTTACAATTCAATCCAATCGGTAGTGCTAATATACACGAAGTAGAAAACAAAAGAAGCACAATAATTAACTCTACACGCCTCAGTCTGCCATATAATCATAACCTTATAATAAATGGCACTGAAAATGGAAGATTAATTTACAAAAAAGACACCAAAATAGAAGATTTGCCTTACCTGGTCATTTGGAACAATAACACCAGATAATTTGCTTCTAAAATTAGCAACTGCACGGTTCAATACACAACACCAAATTGGTATTGTCTTTGACATGCTGTCTGGAAACCTTTTCCCTTTTCTTGTTGAGTCAATGATCATACATCCTCCCCTCTGTCCTAGACATAAAAAAGCAGAAATGCATAAACATCAGCTACGAAGTAAATAATCAAATGATCACCAACAGTCCATGAAAGTGCCCTGATGTACATAAACAGGCAGGGGCGTTCCCAGTGGATTATATGCTCTGCTTCCAATTCAAGTGAACAGTATTAGTGCTTAGGTGATATAGGTGGGCGAGTGGTATTAGTTCTTTAATGAGGGGACCGGAATTGGAAGTTAGGAAGACTATGGGAAGAAACATTGTTCACGCAAGAAAATTTTGATTTTCTGTAAATCCAAGGCTAAAACAACATCATTGGATAAGGCATAATGAGATATAAGGCACAATAACATGGATATGGATAGCATACATCTCTGTTTATTGAAAGGATAAAGCGTACCGGCGAGCAGGGCGACGTGAAGGTTGAGACGAGAGGTATTAAACGACCAGTTATTGGTGTGGCCATCGGTGGACTTAAAGTAGCAGGTGGAGTGGAACTTGGAGGAGTACCAGAGGCCGCATCGGAGGTTCGCTAGAAGGGGGAGGTCGGGCCATAGCTCCGAAATCTCTCCGACGAAGATCGAGTCTTCGTAGATCGAGCGCAGGGCGTTGTAGAGGCTGTTGTGTTTGCGTTTTATGCTCCGTGTAGCCTTGTAAATGCTTAGGTTAACCGGATTCTCCATATTTTTATCCTCCATGGCAACAGTGTCAGGAACCTGGGCAAAATACACCTCCCTAGAAGTAATACTACGTAGATTCTTTCGAGTACAACTTCCATATGAGATGCAGTACGATGCTTAACAAAAAATGATAGATGAAATTGGACTATAATGACAATTTGAGAGATAGGGAGTGCTTTCGAGTAGCACTCCCTCACTATCAGTTGAGCTACGCCCATTGGTGAGTACAATGCTTACCTTTTTTTTTTGTAGTTTGTACACTGTATATAACATGTTATCTTCACCTGATCCGAATGTTTTTTATCTGAATTTATTAAGTTCTGATCTGAATTTTTCTGATCTGATCTGATCCGAATCTTTCAGATCTGATCTGAATCTTTCAGATCTGGTCTGATCTGATCTGAATCCTTTTGATTTGGTCTGAATCTTCTGATCTGATCCGATCTGAATATTTCTATAATTATAACTATTATAATTATAATTGCAATTACAAATATAATTTAAATAAAATTATAATTATAATCATAAATATAAAAATAATAACAATAATAATAATTAAAAATTAAATTTATAGGTATAAAAATTATAAATATTGTTAGAGATATTTTCAATTGTATTGTGATCAATGTTCAAATAGCCTTTTTGTAATAGTTTATTTATTCATAGAATAGACTTAATTTGGAAAAGGCTCAATTGTCTGAATAGGAATGGACCTCCTTAAAGTTGGAACTCAATCATTTGTTAACCTATCATCCTCAAGGCTATAAATATGCCCCTTAGAGAATGAGTATGTTAAGCTTTCCCAGACATTTCATAACTAGAGCCGCAGAGCCTATTCTCGTGTAAAGATTTCTACGTTAAGTTTTCATATCATTCTGTAAAACCTTCTACACATCAATGGAAAACTTCATCCTCATCTGATCACTCTTCCATACATATTCTAGAATAGAAAACAGGGACCTAACAAATATTACACTAATTATAACTATAGATACAATTATATTTTTAATTATAATTACTTATTACAATTGTAATTATAATTTTAATAATTATATTATATAATTATAATTGCAATTATAATTTTAATATTTATCTCTATAATTATAATTACAGTTACAAATATAATTCTAACTACTCCGTATAATAATAATAATATTTACAAAAATAATTATAATTATAATTATAATTATAATTATAGTTATAATTATAATAATATTATTATAATTATTATAATATTATAATCATAATGATGTTATTATTATAATATTAATATTAATTTAATAATATCATTATATTATTATTATAACTCCGTATTATTTACTTTATATAATATTAATTATATTATTATTAATGTTGTTAATTATAATTATAATATAATGATGATAATAATAATTATAATTGTAATTATAATTAATATAATAATAAAAGTAATAAATCATATTTGAACTTTTCTGATCTGATCTGAACTGATCTGAATGCTTCTGATCTGGTCTGATCTGATCTGAATGCTTCTGATCTTTCTGATCTGATCTGAATTTTTCTTATCTGATCTGAATAAAATAAGACTAAATAATAAGTAATAAGAATAAGATGAAGAGAACAACTTCTTATAAGTAGTATTTTAGTGCTTTCTTTACCCCTCCTCTAGCGGTGGGCATTGCCCTCCCTTCCCCATCCCTTACACATGTTTCTTTGTCTCCCAAATCCTTTTTTTTTCAAATATGATGGATGATTTTCTAGCATATTTGACAGTGGATGGGGAAGTGACCGGAAACGATGGAGCTTTGGATGATACCTACCTGTGACGGAAGACGAACGACGGAAATGGAAGAAACGAAGAAGCTCTGAACGTCGGAAATGGTGGAGCTGTAATCGAAGAAGATGGAGCTGTGACGGAGGGCAGAATTGGTGGAGCCGTGAACGAAGAAGATGGAGTTCCGAACAACGCTGGGGATGAAGACTTAGGTGGGATGGGTGGCGGACCTGGAACACAAGGTGGCAATGAAGTTCCGATATTTGACGTGGAAGGGAATAGCAGGGAGAAGACGAACATAGATATTGGGGGTATTTTCTTTGACACACACATACATCTTACATACTCACTTACTGTGGACATGCACACACACATGTTACCTAGTCTTCGGCGTTTGCTTGTACTGACAACTAATATCGGTGTGTACAGAGTACATAATTTTTCATTTTTTCCTCATTCAGTTTACTGACGACTACATGTATGAAAGTTCCTACGAATACATACCTACCGACAAATATTGTCGGTATGTATAGACAACTGAAGAAATCCCCATTGAGTTAATGTATACCTACAAAGGTGATTTGTATCTATGAATGTTGTTAATGTATACCTACAAAGATGTATTTTATGTTTGAATGTTGTTAATGTATACCTATCAAGATTGTATTTTATCTATGAATGTTGTTAATATATACCCTACTACTAAGATGTATTGTATGCAAGTAGGTTTTATGCAGAATAGGGATATTGGTGATCAAGTTTTGGTAGCCCAAGAGATGATTCATGTGCTATTGATAAGAAAATTAGAGGGTCCAATGTGGTTGTTAAATTGGATATGGTTAAAGCTTTCGATAAACTTTTTTGGAAATACTTATTTGAGATTCTTCCCAAATTTGGCTTTAATAATCATTTTGTGGTTCTGTTAAGAGCTAATCTTCATGCTACTTATCTTTCTATTATTATCAATGGGGTCTCACAAGGTTATTTTCAGCCTAGAAGAGGTGTTAAAAAGAGAGACCCGCTTTCTCCATTTCTGTTATTATTACTTCTGAGGGTTTCTCTAGAGGTCTGAAAAATAAGGTAGCTGAAGGAAAGATAAAGCCTTATTGGATGGGAAGCATTGGGTATCCAACTACCCATCTAGGATTTGCTGATGATTTAGTTGTCTTTCTTAATGGTAGATCAAGATCCTTAATAAATTTTAATAATTTTATTAAAGATTATTAAGTAGCTTCTGGGCAAACTGTTAACTTACAGAAGAGTTCCTTTATTATTGGTAAACATGCTGCTCCTAGAGCCACACTGAGTGAGGATTTGCTGGATATGAGAAAATTTGATCAACCTATGAAGTACTTGGGGGTTTACCTGCATAAGGGCATCAATAGAGCTCAGTTTTGTGCAAATATTATTAAACAGTTTGATGATAAACTTACACCTTGGAAGCAGAAGCACTTATCTCAAGGAGGAAGATTAATACTGATTAAGCATGTTCTTAGCTCAATTCCCCTTCACATTCTAGTAGTGGACACTCTTCCAAAGCAAGTAATTACCATTCTGGCCTGGAGAAGAAAATGACACCCTTTCTGTGGGGATCTACAAATGATAACAACATATTTCATTGGGTCAAATGACCAAAGCTTTGCTATTCTACATAAGAAGGGGGTTGGGAGATTAGATATCCCATTGATTTGGAAAAAGCTTATTCTTTGAAACTTTGGTGGAAATGGAAGACACGTAATACTATTTGGTCTGCAATGCTGCCTAAAATCACAAATTCTCCTATTTGGAGAAGGATTTGTCATTTAAATGAGGAAGGTGGACCTATGGCATAGATTGTGGAAAAGATTGTATTTTCACCCTATCTTCTGCCTATAATGAAGTGAGAGAGGTTTCATCTCCTACATTCACATACAAGCACCTATGGCATAAAAGTCAGCCTATGAAAATTAATATTTTCACCTAGAAATTCCTCCATAATTGTTTGCTTATTACTGACACTCTGAGACTTTGTTAAGATGTCAGATTGCCTTAAGGTCATCTATGTGTCCATTGTGTAAAAATTACTATGATACTGTTAACCATCTGTTCTATCAGTGCACATTTACACAGGGCATATGGAGGTATTTATGGGAGTATTTCAGATTCCTACTCCTAGGGCTGGTGTTTCTGTTCGGCAGCTCTTTATTCAATGGTGGTTAGAAGCAGGTTCTAAGACATTGGCTGATATCTTTAAGCACATAATGCCTGGAGTTATTTCCTGGCATATATGGAAGGTTTATTCTTCCTATATCTGGGGATCTGGCTCAATACCAACCAAAGAACAAATTACTGGCCAAATTAAACATTACACACAGAATTGGTCTTCTAACATTCAGAAATACATGAACATGAGAACCGAAGCATTCCTTTTTGAAGAGGGTCTGATCCATACCAATTCCGATTCAAGAATCTAGGGATGCGAATAATCAAGTGGCAGAGACCTAAAGGTGAATATAAACTAAATGTGGATGCTTCTTTTTACATGGATTTGCTGTTGATGGAGCTATCTTTCGAGATAGGAGGGGCGAACTAATCTGGGCAATTATCTTCAGAATTCAGGCAGCCAACAGTGAGGAGGCTGAATTGTATGTGATTGTGAAAGCTTCATGTTGGGCGATTGAGTGTGGCTTTGTTGATTTTCAGGTAGAAAGTGATGCTTCTTCTGACTTGTTGAGATTATCTGCGAATGAAGGTTCAACGCAATGGTGTTGCCTTATTTGTTCGTTTGTTGAGAAGGCTGTCTGTAAGGGGATTAAATTTGGACGTACCTCGTGTGAAGGTAACTGGGCAGCCCATGCTCTTGCAGATTGGGTATATGTCACGAGCCCATTTAATATTTTTAATACGCTGGATACGCTTCCGGGTGTAGCCCGAAAATATTATTTGGCTGATCTTCTTGGTTATCCATATTTTAGACTTTAATATTTTTTGTATTTCTAATGAGTCAGGTACAGCCCCCTCATTTAGGATTTTTGGTTATTTATCATTGTTATTTATTTTTTGAAGAAGTATTGGTCTAGCCCCCTCGTCTGTATCATTTTTATATTAATAAAATACGGCAAATGTTCCCCGACATTTACCTCACTGATTTTGGTGATTTGCCTACCGAGTTAAAAAAACTAAGATGTATTTTATGTATGAATGTTATTTATGCGTACCTAAAAAGATGTATTGTATATATGTATTGAATGTATGAATGTTAGTAATGTCTACCTACAAGGGTAAAATAATTATTTGATTATGTGAACAGGTGGAGATAACAATGGTCGTGAATGTGAACAAATTCCAAA